ACTCTATTTATAGTAGACCAAGATTCTCTGATTCTACCAATATGGGAATGGGAGAAGAGGTTGTTCTCTTTCCTCTCCTCTGACAAGCTCATACAAGTACATAATGCATTTTGGTAATGTTCACATATACTCTCTCTGTGTCTCTCTCTCTCTGTCTCTCTCCGTCTCTGTCTCTGTCTCTCTCTCTCTCATTCTCTGCTCACTCCTATCAAGTTCCTTCTCAGATGAAAAGTTTATTCAATCTACTAATGGGATCCCTTTAAGCTAACCCATTCCTGGACACACAGGACCAATTACTCACTCTTCCAGGGCAAATGTCTAGGCAGTATACTGACATGGGGTGTGTCTGTGACAGACAAGCAAGAGACGATCCACATAGCCCAGCTAAGCCACACAGAATCCCATAGTCTCAGCACCTGCCTGAGACAGGATTTCATGTAGCTCAGACTGGCCTCCAAAATTCCATCTGTAGCCAAAGATGACTTTGAACTCCTGATCCTCCTGCCTCCTCCAGGGCTGTCTATCTGTCAATGTTACCAATGGTGGCAAGTTAAAGGAGAAGTGGGGGCCATCAAAATGTCTCTCCAGCTTCCCAGGATTAGCACTAGGTCACACCCTAGCTAATATCACTGTCACTTGGTTACTCGTGTGCAAAATCCTAAACCAAGGAAACAGTGAGGTTACCAAACTCCAGACTCCAAAACAAAAACAAAGGAACATTACACAGCAGCCATCTGTGTTAGAACACCTTTATTATCTCATCCAGGAGATATTGTTGATTGTCACAACTAGGGAGGGGCTACTGGTATCTCCTGCTAGAAGCTTACCACGTATGCTAGTGATCTTTAGCTGTCCACTTAACAAAGCCTATAATGGCCTGACAAGAGTTTTGGACACGTAACTTCTCTCTCTGGGCATGTCTTTGAGGGACTGTTGAACTTTTTAATTGATATGGGAAGGCCCAGCCCATTGTGGTGGCACTATTCCCAGCAGGAGGTCAAAGGCTATATAATTAAGCTATCTAGGCATGAGAATATGAGTGAGTCAGGAATGGAAACTGGGAGTGACCCAGCAAGCAGCGTTCCTCCGTGGTTCTTGTATCCAGGTTCCTGACTCAGCTTCCCTCAATGATGGACTCCGACCCTGAAGAGTAAGTCAAATAAATCCTTTCCCTCCCTAAGTTGCTTTTGGGCAGAATGCTGTATAACTGTGACAGAAGCAAACTAATACCCCATATAAATAAAATCTTCTTGAAATACAGACATATCTAACCTAAAACATCAGTAGGACCAGGAAACCCTGTCTCAGTGGACCTCACCACAGGAGGATCTTACATAGCTCAAGCATGCACACTCTGGTAAGTTCCAGAAACTCAGTCCCACAAGACCACTTAGATTGGCAAGTCAGCCTGGTGGGAGGAAAGCATGTTAGACCCGCTGATGACTCCCGATTCACTGTTTGCTGGTATGAGGGAAAAGAATGATTACTTCACTGACGGTCATCGTGAAAGGGTTGGAATAAATAATTCTTATAGGTGCTTTAATATACAATGTCCTGCGATGACACACACGGCTGAAATTCCAACAGAAGACTCAGAGGGGTGTGTGTGTGTGTGTGTGTGTGTGTAGGACTGTTATTCTGAAAACACTATCCATCTTGTTTGTTCTTTGTTTAAGATAGGGTCTCCCACTGCTCCAGGGCTCACCAAGTGGGCTAAGTCAGCTGGCCAGCGAGTCCAGGGATATAGCTTTCTCTGCCTCCCCAGTGCTGAGATTACAATAGTGCATCAAGTATGCCTGATTTTTTTTTTTCATGGTTTCTGGTGATTAAATGCAGGTCCCCTAGTCCTCTTGTAAACTATCTCCCTCCCCAGTCCTGGGTTACTTTTATATTTTATACACACACACACACACACACACACACACACACACACACATGCATATTGCTAAAAAGCTAAGATCAGATGCATTTTCTCTAAAATATGCAGGAAGTCTGCACTCTGAGCTTTTTTATCAACACATAATAGAAACAACTAGCAAGATCACAAGTCTATAAATATATAGCTCATATGTGTTTGTGTCACCCAGGGAAAAAGTTTGATAAACTGTGATTAGAGGAAATCACTGTTAAGTTGGTGTCCTTTCCCAACAAGGGTATAACAAAGTGAAAAGTTTCTGTACCCCGATGAGCCTCTCCACTGCCACAGCAACCCAAATCAGACCAAATCAAACCGAATTAGAAAAGGCCCAGGTTTAATGGCTACAAAGCTCCTGAATGGTTTTCCAGCTCCCCAGAGAGGAGCTGGGACAAGGAGACCACAAGCCTGTTTTCTGGAGGGCAGTTTAAGTTCCCTGTAGGAGTGGTCTTGAGCATCTCCGGGGGAGGGGACTTGGTGGACTTTCTGAGAGGTAGCAGGGTTTGGAGAGGGATGGGGGCGGGGGCTTGGAGTAGAGTTTCCACCCAAACATTCCAAACTCTTTGGATGTATGGACACCAGGCGCTGGGGTGAAGCTTCCACCAGAACACAAAGTATGTGTAGGATTAAAACCTTTAAGACGGCATCTATCACTGGCCACATCACACTTATGCAACACCAGTGCTCTGTGCTACTCTTTTCTCTCTGCCAGTAACTGATCTCTGAAACTGATGGACGACAGAAGTCATGTCAATGAGTCATATGACTTGTGTAGTTGGGCACCTCATATTTCTCTCTCTCTCTCTCTCTCTCTCTCTCTCTCTCTCTCATGTGTGTGTCTCTGTGTGTGCTTGTGAATGTGCGCATGTACACAGAGGCAAGAGGTTGACGCTGGATGCCTTCCTAGTTCGTTCTCCCCACTGAGACAGGGTCTCTTAGTGAGCCTGAAGCTCCTGATAGGCTGGCTGGTTAACAAGCCTTTCTGGCGCAGAGATTGTAGGTGCATGCTGCCGTTCATGTCTGGCCTTTTTACATGGGTGCGAGGGATCAAGTTCAGGTCCTCATGGTTGCATGGCAAGCACTTTACCAACTGAGCTACCCGCTCCCCAAGATTGTTGCTGACAAAGCTCGCAGAGATATATCACAAGCAGATGGTGTGACCATTCTGACCCCAAGAACTGAGAAAGAACAGCAGGGCTCCTCGGCCGTGGCTATCTTCTCTCTCTCTCTACACACACACACACACAGCACAGAACCAAGCTTTTGGGTGCCTGTGATTTACTAAGCCTGTATTCCAACTGCCCAATCACAGCCTACAGTAGCAGGAGGTCTAATCATCACGCAAGTGCTATATCCTCAAGGCCATATCCTTGACTGGGCCCCAAAGCAAACACCAGCTCTTCTACACCAACACAGTTGTCGTCTACAGCCAAAGTCCCAGACACTGAGCCCGCTGAAGTCGGGGTTGGATGGTTCAGTTTTCCATTTGATGACTAACAAGGGCTCACCCTCTAGAAACCCCGGTCATTCTGCATCCTCAGTGACCAAAGGGTATCCTGGGAGGTCAAATTTCCCAAGATAGCACAACCTGAAGTCCATCTGCCATGGAGATACTTCATAAGTGTTTGTATGCACATTTTTACACCATCAGGGTCAGACGAGATAAATGGCTCAGAGGGTAAAGGCACTGACCAGGCAAGCCTGACAGCCTGAGCTCCATTCTCAGGACCCGCATGGTCGAAGGAGAGAGCCAACTTCAGCCTAAAGGCTGTCTGTCCTCTGACCTCCACTATGTGCAGTGGTGCACGTGCCCAGATACACAAATGGATGGGCATGCACACATGATGATGATGGAAAAATCTATCAGAATATACACCAAACGCTGATCACGTTTATTGCAGAATATAATTTTATGCGACTTTCCTCTTTTGTTCTTCTGCTTATACCTTCAATTTTTCTAAATTTAGCATAACTTTTGCTAACAGAATATATTTCACATACGTACTTTATTATATATTATATTTATTATATATCATATATATATATATATATATATATATATATATATATAAAATACGTGTGTGTGTGTGTGTGTGGTCTCATGTAACCCAGGCTAGCCACAAAGGCCCTCTGTAGCTGAGGATGACCCTATGCACTTGATCTTCAGGCATGTGCTACTATGCACAGATCCAGCCCAGAAGCTCCATGCATGCTAAACCCTCATGTGTCATTTTAAAAAGAACTTGAGGCACCTGAAAAGGAGCAATGAGCACAAGAAGATTTCTCTCAGGGTGAGCAAAATCAAAGACAAGCAATAAAGCCCGGGAAATCAAACATTAAAGCTACAGGGCAGTTTATTAGCTCTACGCTGACCTTGATGTTATCCAAAACATCAGCCTCCTCACCCGGTCCCCCTCCACTGAATCTAATTACATTTTGTTTAAGGGCAGATAATGAAAATGTTTGTCTCATTCCCTGAGCACACTCCTCTGAGCACAGCCTAGAAATATGTTGACAGATTGGGGACTGACTACAGACATGATCCAGAGAGCTCAAGTGTGCTGACTGGCATATGCCTGGGGACAGGGGTGTCTGCGTGGACAGGAGCTTAGAGTCCCACAAAGAGCGCTGTATTACCTTTCTAAAAGTAGAGCTGTGGGTTGGGGAGGTGGTTCTGTCAGTAGAAGGGCTTGCTGGACAAGCATGAAGACCTGAGTTCAGATCCCCCAAATCCACATACAGCTAGATACAGTAGCATGCTTGTATAATCCCAGTGTGTCTACACAGAGATGGGAGGCAGAGACAAGAAAATCTCTCAGAGGGTCAGCAGCTGCCAAGAAGAGACTTTGTTGCAGACAAAGTGAAATGTAAGGACTCACACCTGAGATTATCCTCTGACCTCTGGCATGTTCGTATCCACAACTCGTATAAAGAAATACAGAGATGAAAAGGACACACATACAAAACCAAATATGATCACTGCCCATGAGAACAGAGAATCTTCAGACCGTAACAAGACCACAATGTCCCTCCAAAGTCGAGGCACGCCCAGTGGAGCAAGCCATCCCCGTGCCTTCACACTCACCATAAGCTGTCATGACACCGGCATACGGGCCATCCACCACGTTCCTGTTTTCTTCGGCCAGCGCTTTAATGTACCTTTTGCTGAGATCCAGGATCTGCTCCCGCAGCATGGAGCTGCTCTCAGGCTGAGTTCGTTGCTGGATGGTGAAGTGCAGAAGCATCATCCCCCATATAAAGCCAAAAGTCACCAGGAAGAAGCCCAGCTTCTGAGAGGACAACTTCCAGGGAGTGAAGAAAGCCATCTCTCTCTAGCAAGGTCGCCCTCCCTTGGCTCTCAAGGCGCAGAAGGTGAAGGCAAGTTCATGGTGCAGGCTGGGGCGGAGGGTGCACACACGGCTGCCGCTCTCACTCCGGCTCCTGAGTCAGCTGATTTCCTTCCCTGGCTTCCATTCTGCTGTGAAGGAGGAGCACAGTTAGCAATGTGGTCGTAACCAAACGCAACGATCAGGAACTGCATCTGCACTGAGGTCACTTTCCACGAAATACCCACTTGCGTCTGGCTCCGTGTGCTTTAGGCTAAAATCTGGGAGCCGGGGGGCGGGGGGCAGAAGAGAAATGTGGCAAAGCACCATAAAGTTGTACAAATATACTGGAGGAAGTGTGCGTCTGAGTGTGTGGACACAGGTGTGGAAGGGCTGTCCCCCTTCTAGACCTCGTTCAAAACAGGAAGTGCAGTTTTGCAAGGTACAGAGGAGATGGAAGGATATGCCACCAAATGTCAGCAAGCCCAAGGGGAGGGCAGAGTCCCGGGGCCACTTTGTATTTTGTGTCTGTGTAACTTGAACTTAGAAAGTCATGACGAGCTTGGAGCGAAGTCTGTGCACACAGCTTGAGAGCTGTGTAAGAAAGTAGAAGCGTCTTCAGAGAGCGCTAAGAAGGAAAGGGGAGAGGGTCCTGTGTTGTTCAAACACGGTTGGATTTCACGATCAGTGTGGCAGGGTAACTGACTTTGGGGAGGGGAAGACGCCAGAGGCACAGGTAGGGTCTTTTTGCTCCAGCTTTATGCTAAGCATTCGTTCTATCGCCAGCCTCTTGCCCCAGCTATCTTGGAGCAAAAGCTGCACCTCGCAGGATCGCATGCCTGCTGCACAGGAAACCCAAAGCACCTGGCTGGCTGGCAGCTTCTCCGCGGTTCTCACTTTCACTGCCGTCATGAGGCAAAACGAAAATTCAAGAGCAGAGTTTTGATGTGAAGGTGTTCCTCTCCCATCTGATAACAGCACAGACAGGGCCTGTGATCTCTATTGGGGTTTCTCAGCAAGGTGGGCCTGAGGAGAGGTTGCAGGCGGGTTGATGGGTATGCCCAGATCATGGCGTTAAACATTTTGTCACAATGATAGAAAACCGACACAGGGGGGCCCCGTGTCCTGTTTAAAGAACGCTTGGGACAAAGATCCAGACTCTCCTGCTTCCACTGGGATGATAAGTCCCTCATAAACTGAAAATATCATTAAGTAGAAATCATGTTTAATACACTTAAAACCAGCCAAGCAACGTAGTTTTAGCTTAGTCTTTTTAAATCATATTCAGAACGTTTGTTTTGGACTGTACTGTTCAGCACAGTCACCCAACTAACATAAAACCTACTTTGCAATGAAGTGTGTATCTCATGTAATCTATGGAACACAACACTGAAAACTGAAAACAGAATGGGTACATAGCTTCTCACGCCACTCTGAAGTTCCAATATTTAGGTCAAAGGATCAGAAGTCGAGCACTACCTAAGTGCATCTGCTCAGAGGAAGACAATAGTCAGGCCTGGGGACATAGTTAGGCTTGGGGACACAGAGCATTCGGTTTAAAGCTTCCTAACAGATGTAAAGTCACAGCTTCAATCTCCAGCACGTCAGTTAGGTAGAGGTAAGAGGATCAGGAATTCAAGGCTATCTTTGGCTACACAAGGGGTTCCAGGCTTTCTCAAAAAAAAAAAAAAACACAAAAACAAACAAACAAATGGGTGGAGGTCTCAGTGGGTAAAGACCGTATATCTTTTGCAAGTACAAGGAGCAGCCCTGCAAAGCTGGGTAGGTGTGCCGGCCATCTGTAAGCCCCAGCACTTGGGAGACAGCCTCAAAGGAAGCTGGTTAGCTAAGACTAAATAAGTTGGCAAGCACTGAGTTCAACTGAGAAACTCTGCCACAATAGATCAAGGGGAGTGAAATTAACCCTGGGTCTTCACATGCACATTGCATACATGTATGCCCATACATAAGGGAACATATACGCCCTACATGCACATGACACATGAAAAGTCAGATAAATAGGAAGGAGGAAGGGAGGGAGGAAGAAATTGAGAAAGACAAACAGGACTGAGTGGTGGTGGTGGAGCAAGCCTTTAGCCACAGTACTTGGGAGGCAGAGGCAGATGGATCTCTGAGTTCAAGGCCAGCTTGGTCCATAAAGTTCCTGGACAGCCAGGACTGTTACACAGAGAAACTCTGACTCAGGAAAAAAAAAAAAAAAGACAAACAGGCCGACAATGACCACAGGGGGACAAAGTATCTGATGGTTACACGTCCTTGTCTTAGGGGCACAATGGCACTTCCAAATGGTGGCCAGTGGAATGGCATTTTCCCTCTATAGACTGAGTACCTGCTGAGCCCAGGCATGGGGATTGAACATGAGCAAGACGGACCACCCACCCTCAGAGGGCTAACACTTTGAACACCATCTCTCCCCCCACACCCAGTACATGAAGCAGCATTTCCTTCTAGATCATCCACTCATTATCACCTCAGATCTGAGGGGACTTTCCCTGGCCGTGTTAGCAGGGGGCCATAGCCAAAAGGGGACCTTCTGGGTGTTTTCTGTGACCATTTTAGAGACCGATCTTAACTGCTGACAAGATTACCCATAAACCTTCCGACAGCAAGTCCCATCCACTTCCTGAGTGAACCCTACTGATGAGGTTGATGAAGGTTGATGAAGAATGACAGGGGTTAAGTCACAGGACGGGCCTGAGCAAAAACCAGAGCGAAGACCAGGCCTTCGGTAGGAGGCTTTGCTTCGGAAAGGGCCAAACTACCCAGATGGTACATCCTAGGAGTAAGATGCGGGCTAAGCCAGCCAAATTATTCCAGCTCAGTGGGAGGCTAGCATCCAGATCCACCTGGGAGATGGGCCTCTGGCCATGCCTGTGAAGGATTCTCTTGATTGCACTGATCAGTGTGGAAAGACTCATCTTAACTGTGGGTGAAAGCATTCCCTGGGCTGGCAACCTGAACTGTATGCAATGGAGAGGCAGAGCTAGGATTCACTGCTCCCTGTTCCTGATGGTGGATGGGATGTGACCGGTTGCTTAGGCTTCTGCCACCCTGACATCCCCACCATGATGGACTTGGAGCCAAGTTTTGCTCACTGGATTGTATCGTAGCAATAGGAACAGAATCAAGACACTCAGAGAGGTCCACATTTGGTATACCTCTGAACTCCTCTACAGGGGTTCAGAGCCCTTGTGGGCTCTAACCAAAAGCAACCATAGAATTTCCAGGAATGGCTTTTTCTCTCATAGAAAGCAGAATGTGAAACAACAGAAACTATCAGCACACAGAGAGCCACCTTAGCATCCACCTCCATGATTCCTACTAGGAAGGAAGCTGCTATGACTTCAGGAGTCTGTCTCACTGAGAAGATAGGAAGATCCCCGCATGTAGGATGCCAGGCTTTAGGATAGCATCCTTACTGAATCTTGGTGCCATGAGAGGACTTGATGATCAGCAGTAACACACACACACACACACACACACACACACACACACACACGATGGAAAGAACTCAGACCAACAGCGATCAGAAAGCAAGCATTCAAACTAAGAAAGTCTGCAGCAAGTCTGTTTACAACACTAATCACTCAGGCCTAGGGAGATAGCTCAGTAAGAACGGTGCTTGCCTGGCAACCTGAAGACCTGAGTTCTATACACCAAAAGCCACGTAAAAAGCTGGACATGGTGGTGACTTCTAATCCGGTGCCAATGAAACTGTCAGACCCCTGAGACCTACCCTACCTGGCAAGTGAGAGACCCTGTGTCTCTGGTTGGATCCAGAGAAACAATACCTGAGGCTGACTTCAGGTCTCTACATGCATGTGCATGTGCACCAACACACACATAAATATGCACACTGCCCACATACACAAGGAAAGGAGAGCGAAACAGTTCACCCTAAAGGCTAGTACCACCCCCTTCCTTTCTTCTCTTCTTCCTTCTTCCCTTCCTTCCTCCCTCCCTTCCCAATCAAAATAATAAAATTTTTGGCAAGGACACATGTCAGTTCTAATAACAAAAGAAGAAAAACACACTTTATACCCAGATTCGCAGAGTCCCCAAAAAACCAACAAGGAGACTGAGTCCCATATATAAAAGCAAAGAGCCTTTTTCCTTCCTTCCTTCCTTCCTTCCTTCCTTCCTTCTTTCCTTCTTTCCTTCCTTCCTTCCTTCCTTCCTTCCTTCCTTCCTTTCTTTCTTTCTTTTGGTTTTTTGCGACAGAGTTTCTCTGTATAACAGCCCTAGCTGTCCGGGAACAGTCCTCTACTCTTGTAGACCAGGCTGGCCTTGAACTCACAGAGCTCCGCCTGCCTCTGCCTCCTGAGCCTGGGATTAAAGGCGTGCACCACCACTGCCTGGTGAGCCTTTATTCTTGCACAAGTTCAGGAACTGAACTCAGACTCTCAGTGTGCCCAAGGTATTGGCACAACTGGAAAGCCCTGAGAACAGCAGGGGTGGGTTTTTATATAGCAGAGGGTTTTTTTAAGGTTCAGGACCCCTGACTGGCTCACATTTGTCTAGGGGTGCCCTGGTGAAAAGGGGATGGTATATGCTGGGCTGAGGGACACCAAGTGATCCTATTTACAATAGCTGGAACTTTAGGAATTTCCTTTGGATGGTCTGTACCTGGGTGGAGCATGGGTGGTCTCAGTTCGTGGTTTTTCGTGGAACCATGTATTGCCATAGTGCAAACTGAGACTCAGGCCAACCTTTCTGCTGGTCTATACAGCCTGTCTTGGCAGGTGTGTACCAAGCTGCCCTGGGTCCTACAAGTACATTCAACATCTTTAATCATTGGGGAAAGGAGAACTAAATACCACACAAGCAACAAGAATTCACTTTGAACCCATTAGGATGGTTACTGAGGGCATCAGATGTCGGGATGGAACCTGCGGACTGTGAGTAGGTAAAGAAAATGGTACACCCTGTGGGAAACAGCCCAGTAGCTACTCAAATGCCCCCACGGGGGTATAGACCATTCTGCACTCAGGAATTCCAGCTAGAGAAACAATAACAGGATGTCCCCACATATTTAAAAACAAAACACAGCAGGGCTACGGTGGTGCACGCCTTTAATCGTGAGCCAGAGGCAGGAGAATCTCTGGAATCTCTGTGAGTTGGGGCCAGCCTG